ATGAGGGCAAGCAAAGTGTTCGAACAGCGCCACACCTAATGCCTCGTTAGCGCACTGCGCTAGCAACCCGGTGACCTGAGCCCAATTAGCAGCCACGGTGACGAATAACTGAACCGTGCATGGGCCTCGCCTAGGTCGATTCGGTCTAAAATGGTGACCTGGTGTAGTGTATAAACATCAACACTGGGGTTACACCACGGGGCGTGGTGCCGACTCACATCACCATAGGTGCGCTTGTTGTCATATGCACCGAATATTGCTCATCGCACTTCAATCAAAGCAAAAGTTATCAATCCCAATTAAACGTCTTTTTTGTGCAGTCATGAAATCTATGTATGATGTTGAACTTCTTTTTCACTGTATGTTGCCATCCAAGCTCATCGGAGGTACGGGGAAGGTCAACAAACTAAACACAAAAAGCAGTTTTAGAGAAATTAGGTCTAAAATCTCGATGATTTGAAAGTGCATAGCTCCAGCGGCTTCCTAATATCAGAAGGAAGAGCGTTCCAGACGGCCGCAGAAGCGCGCATCTGAAACAGTGGCGATGCGGTCATTGGTGGCCAGGGCACGACCGGATTGCATATCTAGCCATGTACGTTTGTTTGCTAAGAATAATTAATTTTTTTGGTGATTTGGAAGTGTGCTGACAATCAAAACAATAATCTGTTCATTGTTTCTCCATTAATTGTTTGGCAGTTTAACTAAAGGTTCTGTTCGAGGGTATACGTGTACGGTGTACACTCATAACGGGCGGGAGGTGATGGAGGGGTGGATGCAATGTGCTCTGAACCCAGTTCGAGTCCAGGCCATGGGCTAACATCATTTGGCGAGCAATATCTAAACTGGTCCTGGCCCGCATCACCTTGACCAACCCGGACAGACCAGCATGGTGATGTATGGTCAGACGAACCTCATGACATAGGGTATGCGAGTAGATGTCCTTCATCCAGCAGTGAATTGACAAGGGTCATGGATAAATATTTTTTTTTACTGCTTGCTGTAACGCAAGGATCAGAGCTGGCCATTTTTGCACGGAATAGCTAAAGAGACAGCGAGCACATATCAACCAAGCGTTAAAGGGCGAGCTTTAATGCTGCACTTGGATTTACAATAGGTTCATTATGCGGGCTTGCGTGTGATGTGATGTTAAAGTCTTAGGGCACCCACGTGGTTTCCATACAAATTAGATGCAATGAGTTGCGCACATGCACACCACCATCAACAGACAGACCCCATGCCTTCACTGTAATGTATACGCAACGCATCATCTTCATTGACCAGCACTGCTTACACGTTTTGGCATTACAATGCACGTATGTGTGTGCAGCCATTCATCAAGAAGTGTCTTCTGAATGCATGTCTTTGAATGCTCGTTACGATTAACGTTGTTTTCATTCCTCCGCCCCCCCCCCCAAATTGTTACGTTTTAAAATCGTGGTTCAATTCAAGGATCGGTAATTTGACTTGCCTCATTTTAACCATCTCGATCGCATTGTTTGCTCAATTATCCCGTCCTGTTGGCACGGTTTTCTTTTGGTCCATTATCCCAAACGATCGATTAAAATAGATTGTTAATCATTATTAAACGCGACAAAAAAAAACCCGAGAGCATGTACTGTGTACGTCAAAAATGTATCATATTCGAACAATAATCTCATTATATTCGGTGTGATCGCGGGTCGGTGTGATCGCGGTTTGGTGTGATCGCGGGTCGGTGTGGAGCTGCTACGGTGTGGTTATAACGCTCCTGGCGCGTGACACTGCCACAACCTGCTGAGCTCGTGTGTATATTATTCGCTCTGTTCTCACTTTGTTGCATTTCATTTGGCTGTAAGTTTGCCTTGACCATTCTATCAAGCGCATGCTGTCTCGCGCGTTTTATTTTTGATATGTCACTGTGTTTAGATGCTTTGTGAATTTTAGTTATTCGTCCTCAGGACTTTGTTTTTATTTTTATTATTATTTGAGCTATTTTGTAGGGATCGCCACGGTCCCGAACCGTCAGCAGCGGTGGCAGTTAAAGCGGTGACATTCACAGGATGGGAATGTGCAAACTAAGAGCAAAACATATTAACACAAATTATATACACACGCGGATAAACCTCGTATACGCGAGAAACATAATGGTATTCTTGGTTCTTTCGGTAAAGTCACGCAGAAGGGAAATAATAAAATAATAAAAATATAAAACAATAAAATTCTCACGACGTTTCGACTGCAACACAAGCAATCATCATCGGGTGTGAAATCCACAGCAAGAAAATTTGAAAAAAGTGGCGGTTTTTTCTTAACGTCAGCACCACGGACAGCGATTTGGCAGTTGGTCAGATGGACGAGTTCATCTGTGTTCGGAAAAGAGGAGGGGGGAGAAGAAGAGAATGGAATGCGGTCTGAAAGTCACCGTAAGCGTGAACAACAATAATGGTGCTTAGTTATCGCTGTTATTCCTAATAATTGTATTTGATCAAAGTGTAAATAGGAAGTATGCATGCACGTTGAACTTCTTTCGCACCGTACGTAGCCAACCATGATAATCGGAGTTGCGTACTTCACGTGGCTCTGTGTACCGCGTTCACTGCTTGTCGCAGAGATTTACGGTTGCAATCCAGCGGCCACCCTGGTGAATGCTGCGGCTGCCTTAACCGCAAAAAAACACGCCGTCTGCTTCAGAGTGGACACGAAATATCCCGTGACGTCATTCATAAGAGTAGGCCATTGTGTGCTGTCATCAGGGTCCATACTTGCTCTGTATAATCCCGATTTTCTCAAATGCGATTATATAGTGCAATCATTGGCCCCTACTACGGAAACTTGGCAGCAAACACTCATGAAAAAGTCATTAGATGCAGTGAGGCTTTCCTGGGTGAACAAGAGTGAAAAAAAAATGCGTGACGTAGTCGCATGTTGTTACAGCTGATACATTACTGAATATATTTACAGATCGCTGGTTGATTGGGGTATCCGCGTGACTAAAAGTAGCCACAGCTACGGTGAGAGGAAGATGGATGCGGTGTGCTGGATGAGGAAATCTTTTCCGAGTCGCTCACGTGAACAGACCCGGATGAACAGCACCTGGATGCATGAACGCAACGAATGTGTGTTGCAATGTACGTGACGGCACATGCGGTGTAAGCATGGGTACAGACAGTTGCATAGGCGATACACCATGTAGCCAACTGAATATATACGAGGCTCATAAGCCAAATAAAACGGTGTATGTATGAGGTCGATGGAGCTAGAGTCCATCGAAATATCTCTTTGAGTGCGTCACTGCTGTTGTCCAGCAGATATTATGATTATACTCATGGTATATCACATTCTAAATTTGAAGCTTTCGTGACTGCAAGTATTCATATTCTTAGGTGTTTTAGGTAAAGTCACGTAGGTAAAAAATTAAAATAAATAAAAGTAAAATAAAATATTTTTTTACCTACGTGACTTTACCGAAAAAACCTAAGAATATGTATATCACATTATCGTTTCAGATTAATAGTATATCCACTCACACACGTGAGGACCTGGGCAGTCACTCAACACGGCATGTGGTATAACCAACACCAATAACCGCCATTCGCCACCAAGTGACGGTGACGTCAGCGTAGCACCCGTGCCAGGCCAGGTGCACGTGTTACTAGCTTTACTACTCGGCTTTGCCCGAGACTTGGATTCTTGTCTTGGATTAACACACGGCCTACGCGGAGGGTGGGGGGGGGGGGGGTGCGTGACGTCAGCAGGCACACTGCGTGACGCTGCCGCATGCGGGTGACATCACAGATGTGACGTCATCGCTCACTTGCCGTGCAATATATATCCATTATTGCGCCCCCCCCCGCCCCCAAATCCAAAAGTCTATTTTTATACTTTTTGCATTGTGTACAGTCTGGAAGCTACCCACATGCCAAATTAAAAGTTTCTTGCATGTTGGGAAGTACGCTAAACATTTCGAACAGACACACACATTCACAAATTTCCCTTTTATATATATAGATATACAGACACGTAAAGCCACCAAATGGTGGAACAGTACACTTGAGTGCCAGACTAAGGCACCTTTAAAGTTCTAAATGTGTTCGGCTGAGGCTCACAGTGTCAGATTAAGGCAACTTTACAAGTCTCGGGGTTTAATGTTAATTCCCACAACTCATAAAGCCAGCATCAAGGGTAGCATAAACTTGCACTCCCTTTATCAGGCTTACAGAGTGATGACATCAGCTCGTGTGCTAGTGCTTAGTGGGTCATGAAGTTGATCATTGGATCATAAGTGATTGCGACATCTAATGAGTATATGGCACACGAGGTGTTAATTCACATTTCAAATAAAAAAATGAGGTCTATAGAGCCAAAGTATATATATGTCGACAGAACCACTATTGCATGAATCCTATACAAGGCCCACTGCTTATATCTATAGAGATACACAGTATTTGCGTGTCTGTAATGCTCCATGTTGAGTATATGACGTCCATAAAACAACATTGTATATGGCACATATGGGAGCTATATAGAGCCACAGTATATGTATAATGATATCAACATGTATATGAAGTCCGTAGGGCCATGTTGTAACGGACTCCTGAGTTATGTAGAGGAAGAGTATACGAGCTTACAGACAGGCCTGCAGAGCCACAGGATGCACACACACAGCTCAAATAGCCCCACGGTGCGGGCATCAATTGGCAGCAACAGAGTGGACGGCGCTGCGCCGTGTAACCCCGCGTGACCCCGGCATGGCCCCGGCGTGACCCCGCGTGACCCTATTTAACCCCGCATATGACTCCTCGTGACCCCGCATGGCCCAACCTGACCCCACGTGACCCTGCTGTAACCCCATGTGTGACCCCAGCGTGACCCCGCATGACCCAGCGTAACCCCGCGTGTGACCCCGCGTGACCCAGCGTAACCCCGCGTGTGACCGCGTGACCCAGCGTGACCCCGCGTGACTCCACGTGACCGCGCGTGACCCCGCGCGTGACCCCACGTGACCGCCGTGCGGTCGCTACCCGGTGGACGGCCTCGTCCAGGTTGTGCACGCAGTTGTCGGAGCCGTTGTTGCGGCTCACGGCCTCCCACAGCTTGGCGTAGGTGCCGTGCTCAGGCCCCACGGGGTTGGCGGCGCGCGCTCGCAGCTGCTCGTAGAGGCTCGAGTGCAGCACCGTGCCGTACGACATCTCCGTCTGCCTCGCCAGCTCCTGCAGAGAACTGGGGGGGGGGGGCGCGGGGACGCACGGGGTGGGGGGGGGGGTGAACACTCGGACACACGAGGGGGTCTCTGTCTGTCACGTGAGTTCCTGCAGGTGAACACTCAGACACACGAGGGGGTCTCTGTCTGTCACGTGAGCTCCTGCAGGTGAACACTCGGACACACGAGGGGGTCTTTGTCTGTCACGTGAGTTCCTGCAGGTGAACACTCGGACACACGAGGGGGTCTCCGTCTGTCACGTGAGCTCCTGCAGATGAACACTCGGACACACGAGGGGGTCTCCGTCTGTCACGTGAGCTCCTGCAGGTGAACACTCGGACACACGAGGGGGTCTCTGTCTGTCACGTGAGCTCCTGCAGGTGAACACTCGGAAACACGAGGGGGTCTCTGTCTGTCACGTGAGCTCCTGCAGGTGAACACTCGGACACACGAGGGGGTCTCTGTCTGTCACGTGAGCTCCTGCAGGTGAACACTCAGACACACGAGGGAATCTCCGTCTGTCACGTGAGCTCCTGCAGATGAACACTCGGAAACACGAGGGGGTTTCCGTCTGTCACGTGAGCTCCTGCAGGTGAACACTCGGACACACGAGGGGATCTCCGTCCGCCTGCAGTGAACAGGTGAAGAACGGGAAACATGACTGTGCGCACAGGTTCAGTCAGCATCACAGAGAGTCGGTGGTGGCAAAGCTGGGCAGAGGAGGGTGGCGGCCGGAGCGCCCGGCTGTGGATACGCACCTGATGGGGCTGGTGAGGCGCGACAGGGTGAGGTAGGCGGCCAGGCTGGCCGTGTAGGACGAGACGACGATGAGCGTGAAGAACCACCACACGGCCACCATGACCCGCGCCGACACCGACATCAGCACCAGCTCCCCTCCTGGGCGCAGCGCGGAGGGGGGAGGGGAGGGGCGGGGGGTGGGGGAGGGGGGATTGCAGTGGGAGGGGGGGGCAAACAATGACGGGAAAGGAATTGCGTGAGGGAAAGACACAGGCCACCCAGGGGAGGGTTAAACTGGGATAGAGAAGGAACCCGTGGGTGATCAGGCGCGGAGAAACCGGGGGCAGCTACACAGGGAGAGAAGGGGGCACAGGAAAAGCAGAAGCCACCCGAGGTTGGTTAAGCACATCAACGAGGCAACCTGTGACGACCCTTCGAAATGTGTCGAAACGCAAGCGCGGCGAAAGCGCGAGTGTAGGGTGAGCGGCGATATCTTTTTTCACGCGCTCCCACGTTGGGCCACCGTGCCGAACGCAACGCGGTACGGCTAAACAAAAAAACGAACCGAAGAACTTCAGGGCAGCAGCCGCGAGAACCTACGCCGTAGAAATGCTCACCCTGCTGCATCAGCGAGCCGTACACGAGCCACAGCGAGCCGGGCCACGTCCTCCCTCTGGCGTCCGCTGCCATGGTGCCCCCGGCCGGTCGTCCCTGAATTCCGCCGCCGCCGACGGTGCCGCCGACGACGCCGCCGCCGCCCTCTCGCTGGCACGCGGGACCGGCGCCCGGCACGCCGGCCACGGCCGTCCCCCCGGGGCCTCCCCGTCGCGCGCCGATCGTGTTGAGCCTGTGCACGACGAGGGCGACGATGGGAACGCAGGCGGCCAGGCCGGCCCACACGGTGGGCGCGAAGGGGGCGAGGCACGAGAAGAGGTCGCCGTGCCGCTGGTGGTGGTGCTGCTCGCGGAGCATGATGGCCACGCCGCGGTCCATGAAGCGCTTGGTGAAGTCCACGACGCTCTCGCGCTCCGGCGTGATGGTGACGGCGCCGATGCCCACGTCCGCGCGCTGCCGAGACAGAGCGGCGCACGCTCGGGATTACGCTTAGGAAAGGGGACGGCTTATCGCGCGCGTGCCCGGTGGGAGGAAGACGCGGTGCACATCGGAGGGCGCTAAGGAAAGCATGTATGTGTGTTGAACTTCTTTCGCACCGTACGTAGCCAACCGTGCTAAGTTGGCTTGGGCCGGCACGTGCGTGCAAGCCCCTGCTGATTGCTCGTCGCGGTTCAATGACCCATTGCCCACCTGACCTGCCCACCTGGCGGCGGACGTGATCGGTAAATAAATGAAGTAGCAATAGAACAAGAAAAGTATTTTGTTGTCTTATGTATTGCATTGTCCACGGTTGTTGTGAGCATTTAGGTTTTAGTGCTGTGGTTTTCCCACCTGATGATGATCGATTGTGTTGCAATCGAAACGTCGTGATTTGTTTTATATTAATTTATTTCTAACTGCGTGACTTTACCGAAAGTATAGGTTTTAGTGGTTAAATATTGGTCTGGAGAGCCAATATGCCTAATCAACTAAGACATTTTAAAAAATGTATGTGTAAAGACAATTCTAACGAGACGGAAGAAGACCAGATCCAAAATGTATCTTTGGCTCGCATCGCGATTCCAAATCGTGGATATTCACGGGGTTACATTAATTAACTGCCTCGCCTTGCATACAGGAGGTTGTGGGTTAGATCCCGACTCCGACGCCTGCTGTATATTTGGAGTTTGCACGTCTCTCCCCGTGGTCGCGTGGATTTTTCTCTGGGTCCTACGGGTTTTCACTCCACATTTAGAATCAACATCACGCGTTTAGAGTATTTGGGTGCTATAAATTTCCACGTTATAAGCCACTTCGTTGAAATATCATTTGTGGCCAGTTCGCTTCTGAAAAAGATCTATAGAGCTCAGTGGGCCTTACCTAGAAAAGAAAAAATAGCTTAGTTTACATTTTGATTTAAAGCTTTCGTGACTGCAGGGATTCATATTTTTGGTTATTTCGGTAAAGTCACATAGAAGGGAAATAAAAAAATATATTGTTTCATATTTTTATTATTTTATTATTCCCTTCTACGGGACTTTATTGAAAGAACCAAAAAAATAGCGTAGTTTACAGTTAAGCGCCTAATTCACACCAAAACGTGTGTTCCGGTTTATGCTTGGACAAACCCCGCGCATTAACAGAACTGTTGTGTGCGCCTGACGAATGAGCAGATGCTCACATTCACGAATTACATGACCATCAGACATCTTATTTTTCACACGGGATTTATTAAAGTGAAATTTGGTTTTTATTTCTCCTCTCTTTCACTTCAATACTAACAGGCACTGCCAGCGGAGAGTGCGGTGTGTGTGTGTGTGCGTCACATTTGTTGCATGCGGCTTATAGGTGGTGATCATTTTGATCCCAGGATCCATACTAGAGGCCCTCGCTTTGTGATCGTGGCGCTCATGACTGCCAAACGATTGTGCGTGGCTGCCCACTATTAATTTCCTCTCCGCACCGCACACAGAGCACTGAGCGAGATGAAAGTTGCAGTTCACGAGCCAGGGTTATAAGCGCTGTAAAGGTCATTGTACGAGTGTGTGAGTGAGACTGTGCGCGTCTGAGTGAGCCAGTAAGAAAGCGTACGTGTGTGGCTGTGCACGAGACTGTGTGGCAGTAAGCGAGTGTATGTGTGCGTGCATACGTGTCAGAGTGGGGAGCTGTAGCATAGCGGTTAGCACGCTGCACTATGACCCGAATTCGATTCTCGCTCATAGCTAACACCGGTGACGATTATCTGAACTGGTCCTGGCCTTCGACTCAGCCCCAAATGAGGACCTGGTGCGGTGTGTAAACATCGCCACTAGGAAGACAAAGGCGGCCGGGCGTGGTGCTGGCCACCCACCCCCTCGTGTGCCGTGTCGGCCTTCATAGGTGCTCACTAATAGCACTTGCCCCAACCACCTCTTCAGGCTATTAGGGGAATCTTTGTCTTTCTCTTTTTTACGTACGTGCGGGTGAGACTGTGCATGTGTGTGCGAGTACCTTGCGCGGTGCGTACACAGCGTCACTGGGGAGACAAAGGCGGCCAGGGGTGGTGATAGCTACCCACCCCCGGGTATGCTATTCCCGCCATTATAAGGACTCACTACCATCACTTGCGTAAATATACTGCTAGCGGCTATTGGGGGCCTTTGTGCGTACATGGCGTGGTGGTGTAGCAGTCGGCACACTCCGCTGTCAACCTGGCAACCCGAGTTCGATTCCCGCTCACGACCAATAACAGTGGCGATGATTTTAACCGGTCCTGGCTCTCGCATAGGTCAACTCAGCACTTGCCCCGACAGCTTGCTGAAGTTTATACGGTGGGATCTTTGTGTGTGCGTGCGCGTGCGTGCGTGTGCATGCGTGCGTGTGCGTGCGTGTGCGTGCGTGCGCATGCGTGCGTGCGTGTCCGTGCCTTGTTCAGGATCTCCCCGAACAGGCCACTCCAGGAGCCGCCAGGCCCCGGGCGGCCGTAGCTGTTGTCGGGCGCCTGGTAGACGTCGTAGGTGAAGCCCAGGTGACGCGACAGCTCCTCCAGCACGTCGACGGCGAAGCCAACGAAGCGCTTGGGCTGCCCCAGGACGTTGTCCGACATCATCACGAACGGCGGGTCCTGCTGGCAGGATGTCAGGGGGGGTAACGGCATTATGATCTTTCTCTTGGCTCTCGGTGGTTTTTGGCCCTTGGTCTGTTACAGGGTTGGCCATCCCTGATGTAGAGAGAACCACAGTTCAAATCGTGCACAAATACTGTGCAGGGTGCAATGTTAGACGCATTGTGAATATGTATTAATAATGAGATAATATATGAACCTATTAACGTATGAACTTAATGAATCAACTATTAAAGTGTTTTAATGGCAGCATAGAAACAAACTTTTTGGGCCACATTCTTTGGTTCTTTCGGTAAAGTCACGTAGAGAGAAAAAGAAAAATAAAGTGAATAAAAAGAAAATGATAAAAATGAAAAAAAAATAAAAAAACACTAATGTAGACTGTAGCCTGGTTCTTAATCTGAGTGAGTGTACTGGCAGTCTATAATGTAGACTGTAGCCTGGTCATAAAGTTTGATGATTGTACTGGCAGTCTATAATGTAGACTGTAGCCTGGTTATTAAGCTGGGTGAGTGTACTGGCAGTCTATGATGTAGACTGTAGCCTGGTTATTAAGTTTGGTGAGTGTACTGGCAGTCTATAACGTAGACTGTAGCCTGGTTATTAAGTTTTGTGAGTGTACTGGCAGTCTAAAATGTAGACTGTAGCAATGGTTATTAAGCTGGGTGAGTGTACCGGCAGTCTACAATGTAGACTGTAGCCTGGCTATTAAGTTTGATGATTGTACTGGCAGTCTATAATGTAGACTGTTGCCTGGTTATTAAGCTGGGTGAGTGTACTGGCAGTCTATATTGTAGACTGCAGCCTGGTTATTAAGTTTGATGATTGTACTGGCAGTCTATAATGTAGACTGTAGCAATGGTTATTGAGCTGGGTGAGTGTACTGGCAGTCTATAAAGTAGACTGTAGCCTGGTTATTTAGTTTGATGATTGTACTGGCAGTCTATAATGTAGAGTGTAGCAATGGTTATTAAGTTTGATGATTGTACTGGCAGTCTATAATGTTGACTGTAGCCTGGTTATTAACCTCGGTGAGCATACTGGCTGTCTATTATGTAGACTGTAGCCTGGTTATTACGTTTGGTGAGTGTACTGGCAGTCTATAATGTGGACTGTAGCAATGGTTATTAAGCTGGGTGAGTGTACTGACAGTATATAATGTAGACTTTTGCCTGGTTGTTAAACTGGGTGAGTGTACTGGCAGTCTATATTGTAGACTGTGGCCTGGTAATTAAGCTGGGTGAGTGTACTGGCAGTCTATGATGTAGACTGTAGCAATGGTTATTAAGCTGGGTGAGTGTTCTGGCAGTCTATAATGTAGACTGTAGCAATGGTTATTAAGCTGGGTGAGTGTTCTGGCAGTCTATATTGTAGACTGTAGCCTTGTTATTACGTTTGATGATTGTACTGGTAGTCTATAATGTAGACTGTAGCAATGGTTATTAAGCTGGGTGAGTGTACTGGCAGTCTATAATGTAGACTGTAGCCTGGTTATTAACCTCGGTGAGCATACTGGCTGTCTATAATGTAGACTGTAGCCTGGTTATTAACCTCGGTGAGCATACTGGCTGTCTATTATGTAGACTGTAGCAATGGGAATTAAGCTGGGTGAGTGTACTGGCAGTCTATAATGTAGACTGTAGCCTGGTTATTAACCTCGGTGAGCATACTGGCTGTCTATTATGTAGACTGTAGCAATGGTTATTAAGCTGGGTGAGTGTACTGGCAGTCTATAATGTTGACTGTAGTCTGGTTATTAACCTCGGTGAGCATACTGGCTGTCTATTATGTAGACTGTAGCAATGGTTATTAAGCTGGGTGAGTGTACTGGCAGTCTATAATGTTGACTGTAGTCTGGTTATTAACCTCGGTGAGCATACTGGCTGTCTATTATGTAGACTGTAGCAATGGTTATTAAGCTGGGTGAGTGTACTGGCAGTCTATAATGTAGACTTATTCTTTGGTTCTTTCGGTAAAATAATAAAATAAAATAATGTATAATAGGTGAGAATTTCGAAAGATTTCACCGCTACGTGTTATTGACAAAGTGTTATCGCCACGAGTGCAATTTGTACTCGCTATATCTATAGATCTGTTTTATTATTTTATATTAACTTGATGGACTTATCTCTCTTACTCTTGCATCCTTTCTTGTATTTCTCGTTGATGTAACTTGCTGACACACAGCCCCCTACTGGACGTCTGCAAAAAAAAAGCCTTCATAGCTCATCAGATTCCATCTCGAGTATAAGTAAAGATCCGGATTCTGAGATGTAATCTCCCTCGCCTCGTATGAAGGAGGTCGTTGGTTCGATCCCGACCACCTGAGGACGGCTGCTTGTGTTGTGGCCGAAACGTCCTGAGAATTATTTTATTATGTTTTTATTTTTTATTTTTATTATTTTATTATTTCCATTCTACGTGACTTTACCGAAAGAACGAAGAAGAAGAGCTACATAGCTCGGTGGGCCTTACCTGGTAACAATTTAAAATAGTTTATGGTTTACTTTTAGTCTACCACATTTGCTCACCAGTACTGTAACCACTCTGAGGGTGACTCCCTTGAGGTTGTTCTCCAGGAGCCGGTCTCTCAAGGTTCCGTTGAGTCCGTTCTTTGGGTCCCAAAGCGCGAGCTGTTCATAGCAGACCACCGAACGTCACGATCGTCGTAGGTCGCCAGAATCCACGGCGTATGATTTATGGCGTCGGCAGAGTGGGCAAAAATAAAATCGAGATTTCACCGTAGTTCCCGCAGTCAAGCAACACACAAAAGCTTTGGCTTATCGTTGGCAGAATGTAATCGGGTGGCCGTTCGTTGTAAGGCACGTGGATGTTTTTATTTCATTTTATAACAAAACATATTTTTTTCTCAAAATAAGAAAAACGGGGACAATAAAAGCAATTTATGAAAAGAGCTGCCGTGCACATAAACTGGTTGGCCGAGCCGCGACCACCATAATACGTTCTGTACGTGCTATAGGCTGGGAATAATAACCTTATCTATGTGGGTATGTTGAACTTCTTTCGCACCGTACGTAGCCAAAGGTGCCGGGGAAAGACAACAAACTAAACAATGTAGACCTCAACTTGTAAATCCGTATCAAATCGTAGATACAGTGACTCATTACATCTAAATAATTAAGGCATTTTTTTTTACAATTACGGAAAAAAAACCTTTTTATTCAGCAGTGAAATTGACCCTTTTGTGCAAATCGAGGATAACATCACATGATCGACCGCCTTTCGATACCATGTGAATTCCCGTAGCGTCTACATTCGGCCGTATCTCAACCACACCGCAGAGACGGTGTGTAGGAGGAGGAAGCGGCGCGGTGGTTCGTGGCTTCAACTGTGCACCCGGTGACCCCCGAGTTAGAATTCCGGTCACGGCTAGCATCTGTGACGAGTGATAAATGAGCCGGTTCCTGGCTCTCTCCCGTTTCTGCTTCAGCAACCCGCAATGACCAAAGTGGTGAAGTATGATCGAAAGCCCCCATGGCTGACGGTGGCATTCAGATGCCTTCATCTAGCGATGGACTGAGGACTGCAAATTATGCCTGTACTCTAAGTGTATTGTGTACACACGTGCAAGGCTATACATGATCAAAAATTAAGTGGGTTTTAAATTGAAAAGAAATCTAATTTCATAACAATTGCAATGTAATTGAATTATTTAATGCATGTTAGATGTGATGACTCACGGTGAGGGAGAAACAACGGCGTTTTAGTGTGATGGTGCGCAATAAACGTTTGACTGCCCTACATTTCATTAACATAATAATAATAACAATGCCAATGATTTACCTAAGAAAGCCTCATGGAGTGTTGAGACTGTTCCTCAAGGGTCTTGCATTTGGATTGTTTGCAGATGATTGTGATTCAGCGAATGATGTAAGTTTTAAGGATGTTCCTCCAATTCCCGCACCACCGATTAGAGTAGGCCAAAATAACCTGAAGTGGATCTCCCTCTAGTGTATGTGTGTTGAACTTCTTTCGCACCGTACTTAGCCAACCGTGCTAATTAGAGGTGCGGGGGGGGGGAGACAACCAACTAAACACAAAAATCAGTTTCGTTGAAATTAGCTTTCAATGTAGATTTAAAAGTGCATAGCGCCAGTCGCTTCCTAATATTCAAAGGAAGAGCGTTCCAGACGGCCGCAGTGGCGTGAGCGAGCGAATGCGGGGAAGTCCGGCGGCTGCACGGTCGACCCCCGGTGCGTGTGCGGTGGTGACTTGGGGAGGCAAATGCAAATGGCCACGTACGGTGGCGAAAGAAGTTCCACATACATACAGAAGAGTTATATGGCTGAAATGTGGCTGCCTACGCTTACGACTAGATCGATCCAAAAGCAAAACTTTTATGAAAGTGGGCCAGCGGAAATTATTGCATGGAGCATGATTCGTTTCGCTCATGAGGCAGCCTCAGCCAGAATTCGGAACTCCTTTAAATGAGAATAACAAACGTTCAACTAGTAACGCGCACGGCATCGATCGACTCGGAGGCACGGGAAAGGAAGGACAAAAGTGGGAAGACAGCCGGGCTATAAGCCGGTGCCAACAATTGCCCAGGGTCTGCAGACCCCTACAAAGATGCGTTTTCGGCCAATTAATGAGTGAAGAGGATATCCGGAGGACCCAGAGAAAACCCACACAAATGAATAACCCAACCGACAATTGGATACCCATTGTAATTAATATGTATTCATTAATCCCCCCCCCCTCCCCCAGGTGAAGGGCTCACATGTGACGTCATCACATATATCTCTCTATGGAACGAAACGAGAAGATTTCTCCACAAATCTGGCTGCCGCCTGATGATGCCGGTTGTAATTACTGACGAACCGTCGTACTCAGATTGTAAATGTTGTGGCTTGGCTCTCCAACACACCGGCGTGCTGTACTAGTGACGAATTGGCACGTTCTGTTTACGTGACAAACCTTACTAGTTGGCTGTGTCGGGTGGTGGCGGGTTTAACGACACATTTATATTTTACGCGATCTAACTAAAAAAAAAACCTGTGTTATGGATCATATTGGTTGCGAAAGCCTGCTAGGTGTTAAACTGTCGTCAAACTCCCTTCCCGTCGGCATCGAGCTGTCATAACCCTGGCTCGTCACAAGACGGCAGTGCGGCAAGATGCGGACTCCACCTGTGCCATCTGCGTGGGATAGACCGGTGGTGGGTCGGCCAAACAAAAATAACAAAGTTGGAGCCATTTTTTTTAGAATTCAGTGAAGAAAACCCCTCAATACAGGGTGCATCAGAAATTGTTTTTAACACTTGTGAGAATTTCCAACAACGCCACGAGAAATGTGCCCCCGGGCTCTGGTTGCCAACCCCTGGGATAGAGCGTTGCTCCCTCACACGTGTGGGGTTTTCCTCCGGGTGCTCTGTTCTTCCACATGTAAACACTCCTTTATCGGCCAGTAACGCCATATGGAGAGGACTCCAGAGCTTCGAGTGGGGGGGGGGGGGGGGAAATTCGGCGGTGGCACACCGCGTGGCAAATCGTTTTTACTGCTTGCGACGGGTGAACGCCAAAACCGAAGGGTGAAGTGGGTGAACTTGCCCAGCAGTTCGTAGCACCCCCCCCCCCAAACTTGCACTCATTACAGAAAGCACCTGCATAGGAAAAAACAACTAAATAACAATGTCCGAGTAAATTGTCGTGGTACCCCTAGCACTCGCTTCGTTACGTCTGTCGCCCCCCCCCCTCCCAGCCCGACCATGAGTGTGCGTGTTCATGGCGGCGATTGCGAGCGCTCATTACCCGGCGCACGGTTTTCTCCTGGCCGCCGTCGGCGTAGCTGGTGCCCAGGACCTCGAACTGCACGTTGGGGTTCACGCCGAGCTCATTAAACTGGAGCTCTCCCGTCAGCCCCCACACGCGCCCCTGCCAAACCCCCCGCGGACACAAAGACAAAGGATCCCACGTGTAGCCTTAACAGACTGTCGAGGGCAAGTGTTGTTAGCGAGCACCTGTGAAGAGGCACACTCATGCACGCACAGACGCACGCAGATACACACGCAGGTGATGCAAATAGAGCAAATGATGCACGTAGATACACAGAGAAAGACAAAGATCCCCCGTGGAGCCTTAACAGACTGTCAGGGGCAAGTGCTGCTAGCGAGTACCTATGAAGGGACACACACACGCAAAGACGCACGCAGATTAATGCATATACAGTCAAAGATGCACGTAGATACACTGAGAAAGACACAGATCCCCCATATACCCTTAACATCCTGTTGGAGCAAGTGCTGTTAGCGAGCACCTATGAAGGCCGGCACAGCACACGGAGAGGTGTGGGGTTGGCATGTCTGTGCTTGAGCCATCACCTTGCGGAGAATGGTAGCGCAGTGGCTAGCGCATTGTGCTACGAACCCGGCGACCTGAGTTCAATTCCCGCTCATGACGCGAACAGTTGTGAATATCTGAACTGGGTCTGGGGCCTCCCGAAGATCGACTCAGCCTTAAATCAGTACCCGGCCGTGGTGCTGGCCACCAATCCCCTCGTGCGGCACACCGGCCTTCATAGGTGCTACTCGCTATAACAGCACTTGCCCCAACAGTCTGTTCAAGGCTATATGGGGGATCTTTGTCATTGTCTTGCCATCACCTTGCACGCATCGGCGGCGCGACACCGAAGTCAGCGCGCCGCGCCACCACAAGCGCCCTACCTGGCGGATGACGTCCAGCATGGAGTGTCCGCCGTTCCAGGGCTTGGTCCAGCGCTTGAGGCAGCTCAGGCTGGCCATGCTGTGCCACTTGCGGTCCTCCAGCTTCTGGTGGAAGGCGGTGGTCAGCAGCACCACGCTGTCGTAGATGTACAGGCTGCTCACCTGCACGCACATACGTACGCAGGCGCGCACGCACACACATGCACGTACGGACAGACACGACCGTGAATACAAGGTGGAACAACACGCGAGTACAAAGAATCACGTACAATAACGAAGACTACACATGTCCCTATAGAACACACATAACCACATGCTTACAGAAATATAAACCTTACAACCACACAGAAATCACACGTAAATTTAGACAGACTGATATTTATATGCACACACACATTAATGTACACTCATTCACTTAAGTAGAACTCATACATAAACAACACGTATAAATATTGTCGTGTTCTTCATGGTTGCATGCATTCCATGCAATTGATATATCTAATTGCAGAATTGTTACGTGTGGCTGTATGTGGATATATGTGCTTTGTGTAGTATTAATTATCTCACTACGAGATGTTACGTCTCGTCTGGTATGCAGAGGAAGTCGTTGGTTCGATCCCGACCCTGACGCCTGCTGTATATTTGTAGTTTGCGTGTCTTTCTCTCCCCGTGGTCGTGTTTTTTTCTCCGGGTCCTCTGGTCCCCCCCCCCCCCACCACATTTAGAATCAACGTCACGTGTTCAGTGTTTAGCTGCTTATAAATTCACACGCGATGACAGGCCACTTTGTTGAGCTACCATTTGTGGCCAGATCACTTCTGACCTCACCTGGTAAAATAAAATAGTTTAGCTTTAGTTTGACCCCCCAGGCGAGGGTTGGCCACATTTACAATCAACATCATGCTTTTGGACTATTTGGCTACTGCTATTAATCATCACGTGATGATGAGCCACTTCGTTGAGCTATTATTTGTGGTCGCCAGGTCGCTTCTGAAAAAGAGCTACATAGCTCAGTGGGCCTTACCTGGTAAATTGAAAATAAAGGAATAGTTAATTAGTTTAAAAAGTAGTTTAAATAATGCCCTTTAGCCGGTGGGACTCTTTTTCTCTCACGAGAGGCCTTCATCGGCATGTGGGGTAAATTCAATCAACGAGTTTGTGGTATGTGGGAGAAAACTAGAGTATGTATAAATAAATAAATAAACACCCCAATGAGAGAAAGGAAATCATGTTGTCCACACTTAAAATTCAAGAAGCTACCGCTGAATTTCGATTTAAAGCTTTCGTGACTGCAGGGATTCATCTTCTTGGTTCTTTCGGTAAAGTCACGTAGAAGGGAAATAATAAAAGAATAAAAATAAAACATAATAAAATAAAATAATTCTCACGACGTTTCGGCCACAACGCAAGCAGCCGTCCGCAGGTGGAGAACAGGTCTGTCGGTAAGACAGCGTCTGAATGAGCTCATCATTATTTCCCTTCTGCGTGACTTTACCGAAAGAACCAAGAAGATGTTTTTCCTCTGGCCAATCCCTGTCCTTCCCTTCTAACGGATCCCAACCGTCGCCTCTGGGTTCCACTTTGTTTCCCGCCTATTAAATAAAGTAAATAAATGAAAACAACTGAATTAAATCACGACGTTTCGGGCACAACACAAGCGTCCTTCTTCAGGTGGTGACAACGTAGCGAAAGCACAGCCGCTTAAGTGTGTCCAAGATATGGCTGTGACGAGGAATTATATATATTTAATTTAGTTGGTTTCATTTATTTTATTTTTTACCTACGTGACTTTACCGACAAAACCAAAGAGTATGAATCCTTGCAGTCACGAAAGCTTCAAATCTAGAATTCCCGCCTATTCTGGTTCAAAACCTTTTCCTCCAATCACAGAAAAAGCCTGCCCTCCGACTAATCACCGTGAAGGTCTCTTTCCGCAAATCGGAGACCTAAGGCCTACTTTTGAATAACAGTTAGGCTGCACATTGGCTTAGGGTGAGTGTTTGTTAATTTCGGTCATTACACTTGTACTCCACCACGTCTGCTCGGAGCCAAGGAAACTCAAGTTCCACAGTCGCGTCGACCTCCCTGGCACCACGGACGTCTCCATGTATTTTAGTCATTTCAATTTGGATGCCTCTTCGGGCCGGAGCCCAGATTGCCTGGGCCAAATTTCACTTCTCTGAATTCCTAATGTAATAATTGCTGCGGAATTGAGGACATACATCATCGCACGTGTTGGATCTGAAAATACGGTCACAGTTGGTGAGATGACATTTAATTAAAAGATGTATTTATCGTACAGCGATAAAGATTTAACGTTGTTTTTAATTTGTCAGCAATGTGGGTTTTCATCTTCTACTCACGAGCAATTCTGGGACAGTCTTACTCGGAAGGAGTGTTTTTGGTAGAGTATTGCCCAAAATTCAAGTGACTACTTTAGTAACTTGAAAGATGAAAGAAATGGCAAGATTTTTTTTTAAATAAACTCCTTTTTTTTTTTTTTACCAAAGACGCTCTTGCAATTGACACTATGCTGGTATCTGTAGTTCTCGCCTGGCTAAATAGACTCGAATTGACTTGAACTCCGATTTAAAGCTTTCGTGACTGCAGGGATTCATCTTCTTGGTTCTTTCGGTAAAGTCACGCAGAAGGGAAATAATGATGAGCTCATTCAGACGCTGTCTTACCGACAGACCTGTTCTTCACCTGAGGACGGCTGCTTACGTTGTGGCCGAAACGTCGTGAGAATTGTATTTTATAATGTTTTATTTTTATTATTTTATTATTTCCCTTCTACGTGCCTTTACCGAAAGAACCAAGAAGATGACTTGAACTCCGTTGGTCTTTCAGTTGGAGTTATAGACAGGCCAAAGTGCTCTCCAGATCATTCGAGTTGATCTGGTGCAATTGAGACCAGCCATTGAACTCCTCAATCCTGATGTGACAGGCCACATTCAGAGTGATTGAGTTGCCAGCATTGAACAAATACAGGGTGGGCCATAAGTCACTACCTGATTTGAAATAGCGGTATTTTGTGTAAAAATATTTTTTTAGAATTTTATTTGCAGAAATAAAGAAGCATGAAAGTTTATGATGAACTGGAAGACACCTCAGCAGCGTGAGAGAATAGTTACAATTTATTTCAGGAACAGTTGTTCAATTATTTTAAACTTTTAAGACCCGAATGGCTCCAACTCCGCACCGTATTCGGGCGTTGATTTCCCGACTTCAGGAATCAAGAACAACGGCGGATGAAAAGCGTCGTGTTGGCAGACCTCGAAGCGGTCGATCTTCAACTTCTATCGAGCAAGGGAGGGAGAGCGTCAATAAAAAAAGAACCCGAAACATCAACGAGGAGATGCTGTGTCGCTCAATTTGGGGATCGCACGACGGCGAATCTTGGCACAGGACTCAGCTGGTGGAAGAATTGCAGTCCAGAGATCATCAAAGTCACCCAGAGTACTCGTCTGCTTTCATTGAACTTGCAGACCAAGACGATTGCTTTCATTACTAATTTAATGACGTCAGATGAAGCTAATTTTCACATTTAGCGCCTTCGTCAACAAATCTAATTGCAGGTTCTGGGGCTCATGCGTAATTATACTGGATCTCCACGATTAAATAATTTTCTATCATTTAGAGTTTTTGTTTTTATGTCATTTTTGCAAAACCTATTGGCAAAACAAATCAGGTGGTTACTTATGGCCCACCCTGTATGATCACACAGGTCACCTGTGTGATGAGCTACAACCACCACACACCACGAGCAGCACACATAACCATACACAAAGATCCACCTACGAAGGCCGGTACCGCAAACAAGAAGGTAGCTGGCCAGGCACATGCCCGGCTACCTTTGTCTCCCCAGAGCTAATGTTTACACATTGCACCATGTACTCATTTGATGTTGAGTCGATCTATGGGAGGCCCAGGACTGGCTCAAGATATTCATCAGTGGGTGTTGGCCGTGAGCGGGAAGTGAACTTGGGTCGCTGGGTTCGTAGCGCAGCGAGTTAACTGCCGTGACTCCCACTCCCCACAAACATTTATCTTAAAATATCCCCCGTGTAGCCTTAACAGACTGTAGGAGCAAGTGCTGTTAGCGAGCACCTATAAAGGCCGGCACGCCACACGAGGGGGTGGGTAGCCAACACCACACCCGGCCGCCTTTGTCTCCCTAGTGGCGATGTTTACTACACACCGCACCAGGTACTCATTTGAGGCTGAGTCAACCTAGAGGAGGCCCAGGACAGGTTCAGATAATCGTCACGGCCGCCTTTGTCTCCCTAGTGGCGATGTTTACTACACACCGCACCAGGTACTCATTTGAGGCTGAGTCAACCTAGGGGAGGCCCAGGACCGGTTCAGATAATCGTCACGGCCGCCTTTGTCTCCCTAGTGGCGATGTTTACTACACACCGCACCAGGTACTCATTTGAGGCTGAGTCAACCTAGGAGGCCCAGGACAGGTTCAGATAATCGTCACGGCCGCCTTTGTCTCCCTAGTGGCGATGTTTACTACACACCGCACCAGATACACATTTGAGGCTGAGTCAACCTAGGGGAGGCCCAGGACCGGTTCAGATAATCGTCACTGGTGTTCGCCGTGAGCGGGAATCGAACCCGGGTCACCAGGTTCGTAGCGCAGCGCGCTAACCGCTACACCACCGTTCCCCAACCACACAGACACACCACAGACACACCACAGACTACATGGCTTGACAACGCAGACACAGAGACAAGCACATTCACAAATAATTCAAGTGGGATGTTGAGAGATGGGCAAAGTGCTATAAATTGTACTTCGCGTGGCACGGAATTTGATGCAGTCCTTACAGTAAATAATAGAAATAATTGGCATCACCCTATTTATATATCTTGAAAGAGTGTTTCAATGAAAAACAACCTTCGGTTGGATTGAAATGGGGGGGGGGGGGGGGGAAACACACTTTACATAATGGATTTCGAGAACATTTGCAAATGGGATTGTATTTGAAGATGCGGGGAGACTGAAACAATGCGGCAAAGAAAACACAAACGTGGGCTGTGCGTTTGCAAGGAGATGCAGACGAGGGTGCATGCTGATGTGCTTGGAAATCAGCCATCTCTGCACTTCCATAGCGCAAAGAAAGATTGCACCTTCGTGCGTGCGTGCGTGCGTGGGGGGGTGTGTACGTGTTGACAAAGAACCCCCCGTATAGCCTCAACAGACTTTATCGGGCAAGTGCTGTTCGACTTGACAATTCAAGTTCTAGACAAGCAGAGTGCACTCCAGATGATTGGAGTTGACCCATCCATTGACACCAGTTATTTAATGGTGCCTGTTCTATCTGTGTGCGGGAGCGGCGGTGCAGCGGTTAGCGCACTGCGCTACGAACCCGGCGACCCCAGGTTTAGCCAGTGTTCATACTAACTTGAATGTGTCTCTGTTGTGTTGGTGGCAGACACGTGCTTTACCTGGGGGGACATGTGGCTGACCTGGGAGGTAACACGTGACTCACCTGGGGGGGAGGGTGGGTAACTCGCGGCCCACCTGGGGGGGTAACACGTGGCTTACCTGGGGGGGTGGGTAACACGTGGCTTAGCTGGGGGGTAACACGTGGCTTAGCTGAGGGGGTGGGTAACACGTGGTTCAGCTGGGGGGGTAACACGTGGTTCACCTGGGGGGGAGGGGGGGTAACACGTAGCTTAGCTGGGGGGGGTAACACGTGGCTCACCTCAGGGGTCATGTAGGCGGGGTCCTGGGGGTCGCAGAGCGCCGGCGAGACGTGGTGCCCGTCGCGCTCGCACCTGTGCGCCGGGTCGCGCGGTGCGGGGAACACCTGGCGCAGCACGGTGAGGCGGCCGACGGAGACGCGCGCCAGCTCCTGCACCTCCACCAGGCTCACCTCCTGCGCGGACCGTCACGAGCACTCCGGTTATCCCCGTGGCAGCAGCAGCTCTTGGCTGGCGATCGAACAAAGACGGCGGTCGCCGCATCGCGCACTTTCAGATGCGCTTCCGCGGCCGTCTGGAACGCTCTCCCTTCTGATGTTAGTAAGCCACCGGAGCTGCGCACTTTTAAATCGTTTAGATTGAAAAACTCATTTCTTTAGAACTGCTCTTTGTGTTTAGATTGTCGTCCTTCCCCTGCACCTAAGATTTAGCACGGTTGGCTACGTATGGTGCGAAAGAAGTTCAATGTACACGCATACATAACGCAGGTAAGATGAATCATACTGACTGTTAATTAAAGTAAGTACGTATCATGAAGCGAAGGGACGATGGCCATTGGTCAAGAACAGTGACGGAGTTGTAGTCGAGGAACGGCACCCGATAGGACGTCCACCTAGGAGATGGAGCGACGAAATCGACTCGCCTACAGATGCTAAGCAGAACTATAAGATGGCTTAGGGAAGCCTGCATCCAGCAGTGGATTGATCATGGCCGATTATGTCGATGTCACAAATAGTAACATTAGCCATAATTAATGCACCCAGACCAGGAATTAAATTAAAGGATATCGATACGGTGGATATCATTTCACAAGCAGAAAATAATTAAAACACAATGTGTACTACCCGTTCAATAACCACAAATTCAAGATTTGGCTTTTCCAATTAAACAGCAACATTCCGCAAAGCGGAAAGATCGCAGAGCACAATTACATTTCCCTCCGCAAAGTGTGGACGTTTAATAGACATCTTAGTCGACTAAACATTTCTCCTCCCTTTGCCTCTTTTTCGTCTCTGCACTTGCGCGCGCTCGCTCGCTCGTAAACGACTAGGACGGTGGTGGTGGCGGACATCGACGACGAGCCAGCAACACGTGGTCATCCGACCGAGCGAGCCGCGTCAAAAAGGACCCCCCTCGATAACAATGATCGCAACTCCCGGCCAACAGTCGCGTAATTGTCACCGAGACGATGTCCGGGCCGACGACGACGCGGCGTTGTCGTCGTTGTGCCGCGGGCACCGGCGAAGCCGGGCGGCCGTCGCCCGCTAGCGGTGACGCGGGGCGGCCAAGGGGATGGCAGTGCGGATCATCACTGGTCAACACACTTTTTCTGGCATAAGGTATTCCAACGGTTTTAATGTAATTTTGGGTTGCTGATTCCAAATCTGGCATCAGTTTTTGTCTATCACATCAGGTTTTTTTTGAGATATCAAATATTGCATTTTCAATAAAAACTGCAGAAGAAAAATATTAAATAAATGTGGATATCTACATAAAATGACATTATAAACACACTATCCTAAAAATACAGCACCATATTTTAACACTAAAGCAGTCACTGACCCGCAACAACTTGCAATCATAAGTGACAGAGTTAATTTCGGGTAAAATCAATGAAAATGGGGTATGCCGATAGCATAAAATGAGATGTGATAGAGCAAATCTGAGCTCAGATTTGGAATCAGCACCCTGAAATTAGTCTAAAACAGCTGCAAAAGTCCAGGCCAGAATTTTTTTTAATTTTTTTTGTTCACCAGTGTTATCGACGGGCTTATTTGAGCGCCTCATCGACCCCCACTGTTAGGAGCAATGATTTCTAGCCCCCCCCTCCTCCTGCCGTCTAAACCAACGGGGGGTGGGGGGGGGTACAATGCACAAACGCGAGGGGCTCCCGGTCGCAACATGTTTTGCCCGTCATGACCCCCTCCTACCTCGCTCCCAAAGATCTTCGCAAACTTGTGCAACGCGGGCAAGGGCGTTGAGAGATTTGCGCCGTGAAAAATAATAATAATAAAATAATTACCGTTGGCCGAAAACACGCCAAAGGCAGAAATTAGTTTTTGATTGATTTCAAGTTTGCGCGCCATCTGGCCAATCGTGCGATACTGTGATTGAGGGGCCCTCCGAGTGCCGCTTGCTACTTGGCCTGGCCATGCCTGTGTGCCTGGGTGCGTGCCCTGGGTGCGTGCGATGCACGTTTGCATGCACTTCCCGATGTACTTCTCTTTTATAACTCGAAGGCCAGCCGAGCGTAGATTGGACGCGGATTTCAAGACGGAAGAGCGCCCGATTGTGGGCTCACCTGGTGCTTGGACTGGAACCTTGCGAGTGCTTTTATCAACGGGACATCGGATCAGTGAACATTCTAGCAAATACCACCATGGCTGGGTTTCCAATTCCCATTCCCTTATCAGTAATTTCCATTTGTTCGCGCAAAAAGATCAATGGAACTCATAGAAATGTATGCGTCCTTCCAACAACAAACTTGGTCTTCTTGCAAAAACAGTAAAATACCAAATATATCCGTTTTTTTTTCTTTCAAACAGTTGAACGTAGACCAAGGTTAATTTCGTTTGTTGACCCGAGTCTGGTTCCTGGCGTCGGTTGGCATCAGTGGTTGGAGATGTCTGAACAGTTGCTGGCCCTTGCCCCACTCACCGACTGGAATGGACCAGCGTGGTGAAGTATGGGCAAAGATAAAATATCCCAATAACCTACGCAAGCGTGGGGAGGCCTTCATCTGGCAGAGGATTGGACATCGGCTGCAAATTATGAATTAATTTTGATCAGGATGCTACTACATAAAAAAAACACAATACCCAAATCACAGTACACCTAAATCAATAGTGGCCTTTACAGAAAAACATTATTTTTTCAACAAATATACGTCACTTGAGTCATTTGAGTTTTGTTCCAAACAAGCTGAATTAATTTAAAATGATTCTTAATGGGAACCCAGTGCATCTCTGTTCTGTCATCTCCAGGTCCACATTTGGTATCGTTTTGGCTTGAAGGACAATTCTAACAAGGCCAATTAAGTAGAATAAACTTTCTCTCCGTTCATCTTGACATTTTACGAGAATAATAATATTGTTTTCCTTCATCCACTTACAGGCTTCGCAGATAAACGTTTTTGTTCAGTTTGTTTAAACTCTGGATAACTTATGACCTGTTTACGTCTCATCTTCATAGTTAGAAGGGTTGAAACAAATATCAGTGGGTTGCCAGACGCTGTTTCGCAAGAGCATGGAATTCATACGGTGTCAGAATGTTAATCAGTAACAGAACATACTGTGCGCACGTTCATAATGCACCGTTGACGTGCAATTGTTATGTCGAGGGTCATACGTAGGATTTATTATTATTTATTTTACTACTCAACGGGGAAGCTGTGGTGCAGTGGTGAGCACACTATGCTAGGAAGCCGTAGACTAGATTCCTGACCACAGCCAACATCAGCGGAAGATGATATCCGAGCCGGGCCTCTCCTCTGCAAATGCACACTGGGACCAGTGTGGTGAAGTATGGTCAAACGACGTCCATTACCGACTCCCTGTGTGAGCGGCCTTCATCCAGGAATTGATTATCGGTTCCGTTGATGGCGAGATGTTAACTATCTCGCCTGATATACAAGAGGCCGTAGGTTCGATCCCGATTCTGACGCTTGCTGTATATTTGGAGTTTGCGGGTCTCTCTCTCCCCGTGGTCGCGTAGATTTTTCTCCGGCTCCTCCGGTTTTTCCCTCCACATTTAGAATCAATGTCACGCGTTCAGAATATTTGGCTGCTTATAAATCCACACGCGATGACAGGCCACTTTGTTGAGCTACCATTTGTGGCCAGGTCACTTCTGACCTCACCTGGTAAAATAAAATAAAATAGTTTAGTTTTATCTTCTTGGTTCTTTCGGTAAAGTAACGTAGAATGGAAATAATAAAATAATACAAATTAAACATAATAAAATAATTCTCACGACGTTTCGGCCACAACGCAAGCAGCCGTCCTCGTTGTGGCCGAAACGTCGTGATAATTATTTTATTATGTTTTATTATTATTTTATTATTTCCATTCTACGTGACTCTCCCGAAAGAACCAAGAAGATGAATCCCTGCAGTCACGAAAGCTTTAAATCGAAGTTTAGTTTTAGTTTGACCCTCTAGGCGAGGGTTGGCCACGAGCGATGGTCTCTCCCAGGCCACAGGGCCCTCCGTCTTTGGCAGTCCTCGCGAGTCGTCCCACGTCACTGAGCCCCGTCCATGCAACTCTGCGTCGACAATTTATTGACGCTGATAAATCGGGGACGGCTGCCGTGACGGTGTGACGGTTAGCACACTGGTCTTGCAATCCAGAGGTCAGCGGCGCGGTAAAGATGTATGGCCATCGTGGAAGAGTGGGCAAAAAAATGACCTTCAAGTGGGGCTCTTTAGAGCTCCCTCTGGTTAGTGGAGGCCCTTTTTAAATCCTTTATGTTAAGTTCACTTGCTTGCGCGCTTACGACCGTGCAAATCTTTCGGTCGTTTTTTAACCCACTTCCCGTGATCCAATCGAGCTGACATTTTGCACACAGACTCGTTGTGCGTGACAATTTATTTTCGTGAAAAAAATTTCCAAAATTTTCCACTTTTACGGAAAAAAAAATTCATATTTAATTTAAAATACCAATGTGCTAAAAATGAAACTCTTACTCAAGAAAAACAGAAATGAATAATAAAATAAAACCGATGCCACGCATATAAAGGATTTATAGTGAAAAACTTTGTTTCTACGGGTTAATTTTTCCCATCAATGGCATGGGCAAGCAATTGCAGGGCTGCACCTTTACCTTTATTACGAATGCTCAACAATGCCGCGGAATATTGTTTTCCCGAACAAGGGACAAGCGGAGTCATCCACTAGTCTAAAGGGTGCTCGCAAGTTTTCAACAGCAACGCTCGCCCCGCTGCTAATTAGATAGGTATAAGTTCCCGTGTGAAGAGATAAGAGAACGCTGCATTCTGGGCACATTCTCACACATTGAACATTATAAACACCTCTGCAGCAGCTTGCAAAAACAACAACAACGCTTTGTAGTTGTTCCACATGTCTCGGGATTTTAACCCTTCTTCAGGAACCTCTTCAGTTCCTGAGGAAGCCCCCAATGCTTGGGGCGAAACGTCGGACATCGTGCCGTACAGCAG